TTACCAAAGTACCACAGCGATCAAGCTCTGCATTGTGCTCAATATACAGCATTCGTAAAACTGCAGAATGGGTGTAAAATATATTGGTTGCTTAAACATTATTTCAACATGCACTTTGTGATGACATTAGTGGCATTCACGTTACAGATCTTGGCACTGTAACGTATATATGGTACATACCTCGTCCTCAGAATGAATAATTTCAGAGGATTTTATTGTTTTATCCCATGATTCTCTGACACCGAAAGGTGCTGGGATAACATACTTGATGATCTCATCTGGTTCCCCATCCAATATGCACTCGGCTTTGTAACTGAAATGTAATACATAAAATCAAAAAATATAATACCTTACTTTTCAACGATCTTTCTCAGTACATGGGCATATAAAAAAAAAGCATTAAACATTTATAAGCTACAGAAATATAATGGGTAATTTTTATTTCCTCTTTTTTGGATTGATAAAATTTGTGCAAGCATTTTTATTTCTATAAATGAATTTGATTATGAATTTTTAAAATCTTCATAACAATGTTATATGTACATTTTAATGTGCATGATGACCAGAAACCAGAAACATTCTATTAGGAATTTTGAATATTTGTTGATTTTTATTTCACGCATTCAGTGAATATTTAAAACCTATATACCGGTAGTAGTTACCGCTTATGTACATGAACAAATGCCCACAATCATCACTTAATTCTCAAATCTCATGAGATCTTGAAACATTCAGCAAAGCACTTTGGGTCTTCTACATGTACTAAACTCTCAAGAGGCTTGGGTTTATCGGAATAACACATTTTTTGGGATGTCTTTAACAGCCAAAAATAAATTGAAAATAAAGGTTATATATAACCTTGAAGTTTATTGTACTATAACTCAAAGATATCAATTTGTATCTCTATATCAATTTTACATATTGTTGAGTTTCAGAATGTGTCATTAAAAACTGGAATGTTCAACGTTGAATAATAATAAATAACAATCAAATCAATGTATAAAAAAAATTTCCTATCTCCAAATTAGTCTAACACATGCCGATGTACAGATCAATGTATGCACCGTGACAGAAACATAGTTCATCTACCTGAACAATTTGGTATTGACATAAACCTATACTCAAGCAGCATGGAGCTCGTTTCAGTGTTCTAATGGCAACTGGAACGAGGGTAACCAGGATGATTGCCATGATTTAGTGCCACAATTTCTGTTTTAAGATTTATTCGGTATAATAATACAAATGTTCACCCCAATAGCGGTGGACATACAGTTTTAGAGACCTTCAGAGCCCATTGTCAACCTCAGCTTCACCCTGGTTGACAATGAGCTCTTCGGGTCACTAAAACTGTATGTCTACCTCTGTTGGGGTGAACATTTGTATAATGTACTCTACCATGGTTTCGTCGTGAATTTTTAAGTTTTTACATAACAAGCAGCCCCTCAGCCGAGATAGCTCCGCTGTTAGCAACACACATTTCAATTAAAGAACTGAAGATATCATTAGAAAATGAACAATATGTATAGCAATCGGACTTGCTGTTTTCAACAAGAATTCAAAAATAACACTTTTTACCAAAAATTACATAAATATTCATCAAAATTAGATAATTAAAGATATCACAAAATGAACAAATCTGAGAGAGGTCCACATGTAGTACCTATATATGTAATATCAAAGCAATCAGACTTGCGGTTTTTAACAAGAAGTCAAAAATATCACTTTTTACCAAAAATGACAAAAATATTCACCAAAATTAGAGAATTGAGGATATCATCACAAAACGGACAAATCTGAGAAAGGTTCACATGTAGTACCTATATATGTAATATCAAAGCAATTGGACTTTGACAAAGTCGACAGCGGAGCTAAAAAGAATTTTAGTCACCAATCAAAAAACAAAACAAAGTTATTCTGAAGATAAACAAACTAAGACCTCTCCAGAGCAAAAAGTTTTGGTTTTTTTTGGTGTACATAATTTTGATCTAGTAAACAAGTAATCAACATCATCATTACTTTTTTCATCACAAAATGGACAAATCTGAGAAAGGTCCACACGTAGTACCTATATATGTAATATCAAAGCAATTGCACTTTGACAAAGTCGACAGCAGAGCTAAAAAGAATTTTAGTCACCAATCAAAAAACAAAACAAAGTTATTCTGAAGATAAACAAACTATAAAAAAGTTTTGTTTTTTTTGGTGTACATAATTTTGATCTAGTTAGTAAACAAGTAATCATCATCATTACTTTTTTCAGGAGAATGTATCAAATACAATCTGATCTCATGTATAATCATGGAATTTGGGTAGCATCAGATTACCACTCAGATTTGAATGATGTGATAGCTGTAATTCTCATCAATATTATAAGTCAATAGTGCCAGAAGTCTAGCAAAATTAAGCAAAGCTATTTTAAAAGCTGCATTTAAGCACCAACTGAATAAGTGAATATTCAGTAATTCTCAGAACCATTACAAGAACAACTGTTATGTAGCTTGTATTAGTTGCATCATCTAAATCCAAAACAGAGGCAAACAAGTTACAAATTTTCACTTTAAAACATTGGTATTTAAAACATTGGTCTCAGTTTTGCCTTCACAAACATCTTTAATTAAATTATCATATAGTGATTGCGAGAACTTAATCAGTTTACAGAAACTCATAGGAATGTTGATTGCATGGTAGAATGGTTGTATACGTGTATGGTATCATGAATTTATTTTTCAAAATTAAAGGTCAACATATTGGATCAACTTATTTTAATTAAATCAATGGCACAGTACTGAACACTAACAAGATTTCATTCGATAAGTACACAAAACTTAACAAATTTAAATAATTTGACACATGACATGGTAGAAATAGACAAACAGAAAATCAAGACATGGGCAAAACAGCTGGGCACACTGATGTAATTAGACTTACCAGTACTGGGATAGACATCTTAAAGTTCAAATACTGTTTGTTTAGTCAGAAGTAAGTAAAACAGTTTGCTTTAAATTCCAGTATCAAAATTTTGCTCTTAGTGAGAATGGCATCTCAAAAGAAAGCATAGGTTGTTTCTGACATTATGGCCAATTCAAGTATTGGTCGGAACATTTATTGCAGCTGTAGAACAAAATTTATTACAGGAAATTCTTTGGCATATTACTATATTTGCTGAGTTTGATAAAGACCCTTTGTAATCAGTGAAAATTGTACATGCTTGAATTTAAGCATTAATATAAATTGATAACAAACGGGACACACATCTGATATAAATTCATAATATAAATTCAAAAATAATGACAATTCAATAATAAATGTACAATTTCACTAAACTTTTTGATTTTCTTTTTTGATTAAATAGCCATTTAGGCAAGCAGAACAAATTAATACATAGCAAATGGCTGTTTTGTGTGGGTGTCTATTGGACAAATTGATATTGAAGAAAAATATGCCAAAATCCCACATTTGGGAGAATTGAAGATCATCCAGAAATCCATCCAGAAATGGCAACATGACATTGTTATTTCCTTATCTTATTAATAGTATATGAAGGATTCATTAGTAAAAACAATTAATAGATTTTTTTGGTTCATTTTTACATTACTGATTTGTTAAAACTAGATGTTTCATATACTTACATATGTCCATCAAATTCAGCAGATTGCTTGTGAGAGACTGTCACTTCTTTCTAGAAAGACAACAAAATAGTTCAGATTTAGAAAGGTTCAGAGGTCATTGAACATATCAGTATACATCTTTAATTTCACCAGGGACAAATTTTTCCTATTCACAAATTTATGTAGTAGTGAACATTTGAAGGAAGAGGGGAGTCATGTTATGGCTTCAAAAATTAGTTCTCATAAAATGCCTTGAAGCATATCAAATTACAGAACTTTCCATAACCCAAAAAAAGGGGTCAGGGTACACTTGTCCACAGAGATGTATGGATGTACTATTTACTTGAAATAATAATTCATCAAAAAAGTGCATGAGAGTATAAAACCATTAGCCCTTTGAGCTCCAAATTCAACTTTGATCAAAAGTAAAACCCATAAAATTGTTTTCATTCTCGTACTACCTAATATTAGTCCAATTTAAAAAAAAAAAAGTTAAAATAAGCAAAATTTTGCACCAACATTTTGGCAAAAAAAATGATGGCACTCAAAAGGTTGATTTCATGAAAAACAAATTTATTATGTGAATTTCATGACATAGCAGTCACAATTTGTTCTCAATTTCTTAAATTTACAACCATTTTATAATATAACCTTTTATTGTATAATTACATATTATATGCCACTTTCCAAGTTTTACAAATTCTAATTTATAGTGTCAGACTTAATTGCAGTTCAATACAAATACCGGTTATGTACATTTGAGATGTGTGTGGGAGTTTTTGGTTAGTAACACATTAGCCACGGAAACATGTATACTGAAACAATTACCCTTTCAGACTGTAGAAAAAAAAGAATTGTTGATGAAACAGTGGATAGGTTGTCTCACAATCATTGAAGGTAGGCAGTGTAGCATCTTTTGGAATGTAGAATAAAGGAACTGTTGATGAAACCTAGTGGACTGTGATCACAACCAATGAAGGTAGACACAGTATAGCATGCCACTTTCCATGGCTCAAGCTATGTAAAATATACATTACAAAGAGACATATCATGGTTTGCCAGACACACTGAAATGAAACCCTTGAAACCTAAGAATGGTATCCTGTTTACTTTTTATTGTTCCTTAGTCACCACGCACATTATTTTGTAACTGAATGACTTTGATTATAGTGTAGGCATGAAATGTTACAGGATATTTTCAATGCAAACATTTCAACATTTTTGTGTTTAGTTATTGTAGTAGCTTTTATTTAACTAAAAGAGAGAGTCACATACAAATCAGTGCTCTAAAAAATAAAACAGATCTGTTTGTGAATTGTGATAAAGAGATTTCAGGAGAAAAAATATTCAATGCCTTCATTTTTTCCTCCAAAGTTTTTGTGCAACTTTTCTCACATTTTTAGGTATTTTTCTAGCATTTCTTTGTCCATTTGACCAAATGAACATTATTTTCTATTGACTACAGGTCAAGTATGGACACAATTATGCAGGTTTACCAGTAATTAGGTAAAGGTGACAAAAGTTGTCGTCAGGCAACACAGGTTTAATAGGATTACTATATAGTAATGGTACTACATGTATATAAGTATTTTAATGATAATATAATGCACAGATATATAATTAACATACTGTACTGGAACTTGTACTTGGAAGCCAACTACAAAACTAATAAACATGGGGCACAACTGACACAATATAAAATGTTTACTCAAAACTAAAATAGAGAATAAAATTGAAAATGTTGTCTGGGGTGGGGTGAGAACAATTTTGTTTAAAAGATGAGTGAAAAGCATGCAACAGTACGATTTTGCAAACAACAAAAATTACAATTTCACAAAACATCTGATAATAACAGAATGGTCTGTAAACAGAATTTACAAATATAAACCTCACCTCAAAATTTTCCACTGATACCTCTTGCTGCAAAGTTGTTTTGGAAAATGTATTTATAAATGAAATGATTAAAGCCACACAAGAAAACCTCGGCTCGCCTCCCATGTCAATATGACAACATTTGCAATAGTTTTTCTTTAAAATGTTAAGTTCGAAAGCGAAAAACGAAGCACAAATTAACTGAAGCCACCTTTCCGCGAATGAACAACGAATTTCGAACAACGGCAAATAAAAAGCTAAATTGAGGCCGGGAATACTCACAGATATTTTTGAGATTTTCCAGTCGGTAGCTTTGTAGTATTCCATCAGTTTCTCGCCGGCCTTTTCAGCCTTTTCTCGATATTCCATTTTCAACTTGTAAAATTACCTGACAAACAGAACTTGAAGAGATGCAGCCGGTGAACGAAACTCAGAACTGTTCTTGTTAGATGCTGCCAAACATCGTCTGCTATCCAACGTCCACTGCGACTCCTTTTAAGACACTATTAATTGAATATTTTAACATAATATATGCAAATGTCTGTTTTGCCATAATGTTTGAGCTCGGAAGTATACACATAAGAAATGTCAATGACCGAGCGGTGAACCTGGATTTTTCTGAGAACAGTGGAGAAAACATCTAACACTCAAACTTTCTCCATACCGCAAAAAGGCAAAATATGGTTAATGTCGTTAAAACTGCATTCGTTTTGGTTTTTAGTCATATAAATGTAATACTTGATATGGGTTATTAAAAGAAACAACGTATGAGCAATTTTCGTTTTTTAGTAATAGTGTTATTATGGTGGACAATGCCAGTGCTTCATTGTCGCAAAACTAAGTTGTCCAGCCGATAACGCAGCAAAGCTGGCAGTCAATCATGGCCTTCACGATTTACTCACTTTTTGAAGCTGTCTTATTGTGTATAAATGGTATAGCAATTCTTCACGAGGAACGATTTCTCAACAGAGGTAAGCACTGTTAGAAATAAAGTCAAAACGCCCGATCGATAACCAAATCCAGATTGAAATCCCCGGAGGTTTACTACCTCATTGCAGTGGCAATGAACTGCAGTTACAGTCCGCCGGGAAAAATTATATTATAACAATTATTCAGATGTCTTTAATAAAAAGGTCACTTAGGATATACACGAGATCCGTGACAGGAAAGACTTTCCAATGTACCCCACCCCTTACTCTAACTTTAACCCTCCACCCCCAATTCAGTTGTAATATGGCCCTTTAAATAACTAGGTGGGCAAAGAGGTGGGAGAATATTGGAAAATCTAAAAATCCGTATGGGAATTAAACAAAATTTTAGCTTCACAGCGACCATGGAATTAAACTAATCAGTGTCTTTCTCAATGATATACCGGGTAATTTAGCACACTACTTTTATTTACTGCAATACTATTGCCACCAATTCAATTTTAAATAGTTATAGATAGTAGCAGCTTGCAAATGCACATAGACATTCAATACTATTACTACTGCCTTAGACTAGCGCATGGCACAGTCTGGGCTATTTATTTCTTTTTAAAGTTTGAATTAAAATAAAAATATTACAACATGGAGGTGTAAGCGCGAAATCCCCTGTAACCGCAAAATCACCCAGACTGAACACAATTGCCGCGCCCTCTGTGGTGAAAGCAAGAACTAGTGTGTTTTCATACTAGTTTTTATGTTAATGAATGTTGTTATTTTTATGTTAATGAATGTTATGTTATGACAGGCAAGAATGTTATCCAATCAGAGTAACCTGAGTTGCATCAAAGACACTAGTGTCTTTGGTTGCACCTTCCGCAGTGCTCCAAATTCAACACATGGCTGACAGAATGATTTAGCTTTTCACTCCCGACGATTTTTTGTCAGTACCAATTAAATTGCAGGAATGTCAGATAGTGACAGCCATCAAAGAGTAACCTTTCAAAACGGGGACTTATAATTCGGTATCTGTATGTCTGTTCATAGGTCCATCCGGAGTCATATTTCAGAACATGTTGACCAAATCTATTCATTTTTTGCATGTGCCTAGTACTTTATCTGGGACATATGCACTTGCAATGGTTTACTGACTGTTTACTGACTGTCAGTTTTTGTTCAAATTTGGTACATACATTATACATGTTAGGATACATGTCTATGACAATTCATTTCGCAATCAGATCAAAGATGGTCGACTGGCAGCCATTTTTAGCTCCGCTGTCGACTGTCATATGAGTGATTGTCAGTCGTCGTCCGTGTCAATGTTTTACTTTTTGACTCCCGTGTGCGAAGCACAAAAAGGGAGTCTTTGCAGTTAGTGTGTCTGTATGTGTGTACATATGTATGTGTGTATGTATGTGTGTGTGTGTGTATGTGTGTCCGTCCGTCTGTTCCACTGATATCTCAAGAACCATACATCAGTTTTTGATGAAACTTGTTGCATAGATGCTCTGGACCAATGCGCAGATTTGATTAGGTTTTGGTAAAAATCCATGCATATTAATTACCTAATTTGCATGATAATCAGCTGATTTTTAGCTGTTCCATGACTGTTCCACTGATATCTAGAGAACCACTCATTGGATTTTGATGAAACTTGGCACACAGATGCTCCAAACTAATGTGCAGATTTGATTAGTTTTGGGTAAAATCTGTGCATATT